ACCAGACAAGGATGCCCACTTTCATCACTCTTTTTTTTTTTTTTTTTTTGAGGAAGATTAGCCCTGAGCTAACTACTGCCAATTCTCTTTTTGCTGAGGAAGACTGGCCCTGAGCAGACATCCATGCCCATCTTCCTCTACTTTATATATGGGACGCCTACCACAGCATGGCTTTTTTGCCAAGTGGTGCCATGTCCACACTTGGGATCCAAAACAGTGAACCCTGGACTGCCAAGAAGCAGAATGTATGAACTCAACTGCTGCACCACCGGGGTGGCCCCACACCACTCTTATTTAACATAGTGTTGGAAGTCTTAGGCAGAGCAATCAGGCAAGAAAAAGAAATAAAAGGGATCCAAAAGGAAGAAGTGAAACTGTCACTATTTGCAGATGACATGATTTTACATACAGAAAATCCTAAAGAACTCACCAAAAAACTTTTAGAAAGAATAAATGAATATGCATAGTTGCAGGATACAAAATCAGTTGCGTCTGTATATACTGACAACAAAGTAGCAGAAGGAGAAATTAAGAATACAATCCCATTTACAATTGTAACAAAAAGAATAAAGTACCTAGGAGTACACTTTCCCAAAGAGGTGAAAGATCTGTACATCGGAAACTATAAAACATTGTGGAAAGAAATTGAAGAAGACACAAAGAAATGGAAAGATGTTCCGTGCTTTTGGATTGGAAGAATTAAAATAGTTAAAAATGTCCATACTTCCTATAGCAATCTACAGATTCAGTGCAATCCCTATCAAAGTTCCAACAACATTTTTCACAGAAATAGAACAAAGAATCCTAAAATTTATGTGGAACAACAAAAGACTCTGAATAGCCAAGGAATCCTGAGAAGAAAGAACAAAACTGGTATCCTACTCCCTGATTTCAAAATATACTATAAAGCTATATTAACCAAAACAGCTTGGTACTGGCACAAAAACAGACACACAGATCAGTGAAACAGAATCGAGAGCCCAGAAATAAAGCCACACATCTACGGACAGCTAATTTTCAACAAGGGAGCCAAGAACATACAGTGGAGAAAGGACAGTCTCTTCAATAAATGGTGTTGGGAAAACTGGACAGCCACATGCAAAAGAAGGAAAGTAGACCACTATCTTATATCATACACAAAAATTAACTCAAAATGGATTAAAGACTTGAATGTAAGACCTGAAACCAGGAAACTTCTAGAAGAAAACACAGGTAGTACGCTCTTCAACATCAGTCTTAGCAGCATATTTTCAAGTCCCATGTCTGATCAGGCAAAGGAAACAATAGAAAAAAATAAACAAACGGGACTACATCAAACTAAAAACCTTCTGCATAGCAAAAATCAACAAGATGAAAAGACAACTGGGAGAAGACATTTGTAAACCATATAGCTGATAAGGGGTTAACAACCAAAATATGGAAAAAACTCATACATGTCAACCACAAAAAAGCTAACAATCCAATTAAAAAATGGGCAAAAGATCTGAACAGACCTTTCTCCAAAGATGATATACAGACGGCCAACAGGCACTGAAAAGACGTTCAAGATCATTAACTATCAGGGAAATGCAAATCAAAACTAAAATGAGATATCACCTCATGTCTGTCAGAATGGCTATAATCAACAAGACAGGAAATAAGTGTTGGAGAGGATGTGGAGAGAAGGGAACTCTCATACACTGCTGGTGGGAGTGCAGACTGGTGCAGCCACTATGGAAAACAGCATGGAGCTTCCTCAAAAAAATAAGACTAGAACTACCATACGATCCAGCTATTCCACTGCTGGGTATTTATCCAAAGAACATGAAAACACAAATGTGTAAAGATACACGCACCCCTCTGTTCATCGCAGCACTATTCACAACAGGAAAGACTTGGAAGCAACCTAGGTGCCCATCAAGGGACGAATGGATAAAGAAGATGTGGTATTTATACACAATGGAATGCTACTCAGCCATAAGAAATGACGAAATCCTGCCATTTGGGACAAGATGGATGGACCTTGAGGGTATTATGCTGAGTGAAATAAGTCAGCTGGAGAAAGTCAAATACCATATGATCTCACTCATAAATAGAAGATAAAAACAATGACAAACAAACATATAGCATTGGAGATTGGATTGGTGGTTACCGGAGGGGGTGGGATGACAGAGGGGAGGGAAAGGGGTGATCAGGCACATGTGTGTGGTGATGGATTGTAATTAATCTTCTGGTGATGAACATGATGCATTCCACACAGAAACTGAAATATAATGATGTACAGCTGAAGTTTATATAATGTTATAAACCAATGTTACCACAATAAAAAATAAATTAAAATAAATAAATGAAGTAATTAAATACATATAAATATACATGTAATATTAAAAAAAAAGAAAAGAAAAATGATGCTGGAGAACCAGGAATAGAGATGCAGCCGATCCAAGGAGAGCAGCAGAGAGCAGCAGGGGTCCCGGAGCCTCCCGGGCCTCCCTGGGGGACTCCCTCAGTGCGTCAGGGCTCTGACTCAGCCTCGGGGACTCTCTGGGTGGCTCCAAGCATCCCACCAAGAGGAGCCGCGCTTCTCAGAGGCCAGCATGCGTCAGAATCACCTGCAGGTTTTTTTATTTTTTTATTTTTTAAAGATTGGCATCTAAGCTAACAAAGGTTGCCAACCTTTTTTTTTTCTTCTGCTTTTTCTCCCCAAATGCCCCCAGTACATAGTTGTATATTTTAGTTGTGGGTCCTTCTAGTTGTGGCACGCAGGGTGCCACCTCAGCGCCGCCTGACCAGTGGTGCCACGTCCTGGCCCGGGATCCCAACCAGCGAAACCCTGAACCACGGAAGAGGAACGGTGAACTTCCCACTCGGCCACGGAGGCCCCTGCAGGGCTTTTCAAACACGTAGTGCTGAGCCGCTCCCAGAGTTTCTGATTCAGCAGGTCTGGGGTGGGGCCTGAGAACGGGCATTTCTAAGTTCCCAGGTGCTGCTGATCTGGAAGTTTCTCTCCTTGGGCTGGCACATTGGAATCGCTTGGGCACTTGTTTAAGTTATAGACGCTGACTTAGAACTAAAATTGAAAATGGGATGTGACATGATTCGTTTACACCAAGAGGGATCTTTACTGAACTTGAACTGGACTGCAGGACAAAAAAGAAAAGCTTATCCTGTGTTACTCATGATTGCTTATTGCACATCGAACACGGCAGAATCTTTACGGAAAGAAAGGGTGCAGGCAGGGGAGAAGGAGAGTGTGGTCCAAGGACAGAATTAGCAGGGGAGTCTGGGCAGGTGGACATGTCGTGGGCCACAGTCTCTGTGGCCGGAAGAGGAAGCTAAAGCTTCTGCACGCTCGCAGAGTGAGACGGCTGCTTGGTTGATGTCGCCCGTCATCTGAGCACTACTTACGGCAGAACGAGCAGGGCCAGGACCGGGCAAGGCAAGCGAGGCACTTACATAGGGCTCAAAACCGAAATGGGTGCCAAAAAATTCAGTAATTTATACAAATAGTTATTTTTTTAATTTTTAAATAAACTCACAAGAAGTTGCAACAACAGTATACCCAGCTTCCCCCAGTGTGGACATCTTATGTAGCTACAGTGCAATACCGCAACCAGGAAACTGACATCAGAACCTTCTTGCTAACTAATCTACAGGTGGCCATTTTTTTTTTTATTAAGATTATGATAGATTACAACCTTGTGAGATTTCAGTTGTACATTATTGTTAGTAATGTTGTGGGTAC